CATTTCGTATGACCGCCGGGCTTTCTAGTATAAGAATAAAGAAAAAGTGAATTTACAGAGCCGAGTAACAGAGTAGGTATATATATATATACTTTTGGTGCAACTGATTGCAATCAAAAAGTTTCACAACTGCATATTATAGCAGTCCTATATACAAAATTTCAACGTGAGGCTACTCGTTTTTGAGTCATGCGAGATACATACATATGCACGTACAGACATGATGAAAAAAATCTCTTCTGAATCCATTATAAATCAGTTTTATCATTCGTTTCGTCTTTTATTCTGTCCTTACGTACAGCAAAAACATCGTTAAATTGCATTTGATAGCGGTCAAAATAGATATTTTCGTTGAAATATGATACCTGGAATTCTTCGTGATTACAATAATTTCTTCACTTTGTACAAGGAAGTAAAAATACAGGATTCTTTTGGAATCTTCCTTAACACTAGTAGCACAACTTCTGATACTTTGCAACTATCTCTTCTTGGATTAAATTCTCATGAGTGAACTATCAACTTTGAAGCTAAAATTTAGTCACTGAATCTTAATTAATCCGTTTTTTAAGAACAGAAATCCACTAACAAAGAAAATGGTTAAATTTGCAAATAAATTTAATAGTTACTCTGGTAATTTTTGCATTATGCATATTTGCAAATGTTCAGCGGAAGTTTAAATTTTCTTTGATTTGCATAATTCAGATTTTGGTTGTCTTTCTGTATTTTACATAGTTTAACCTTCTGTTATTTAAACACAGTCTGATACATGCTGCATTGCCATTTGTCATTCTTGCTAAAACAATTTTTATATGCTATATTTTTCAGAAGTTTCCTGGCTTCAAGAATACTACTATCAGCCATAGAAATTAGTTTTTATCATGAATGCAATTCGGAGCTTTCCGAGTCTCACACACTTGGGCATCGTACAAAGTATAAGAATTCTGAAACCTAATAAGTAAAAGAGTTTTTTTAAAAAAAGATTCATTAAAACATTTTAGTTGTTAACTTGACTGAATGAAGGAAATAATTGTATAAAATCAGAACATGATGTATGTAATATGAGTGATTGGACTCTAAAAGTGAACAGTTATTTAGCAATGCAGAATATTTTAAAGATAAAAAAACTATAGCAGTATTTTCTTGATACCCTATTTTGATAGAGGAGGGGGGGATGTGTCAAGTCTTTGCACACAATTTTGTCTGACATTCACAATTGTGTATGAATATTATTATAGATTTTTTAGATAGATAGATAATTTTTGTGCAATTATACATGAAATTGTATTTTTCTGTACAATGTAACATGAAAATCTAGAGGAGCGAAGCTTGATGTAAAAGAAAGAATATGGAAGCAACTTTATTTAACACTGAGTAGAATGGTATCTCACTAAACTGGCGAAAAATCGCCAACCTTTTGATCCAGTCCTTGTATGACTGTACTGGATATTGTAATTGATGCTCTATGTAGCTGTAATTGTAATTAGACCCTCATATGTCTTCCAGTTATTTCAAGAAGCAGAAAGTACTAGAAATATTTTGGTGGCCAACTATACAAGGCCAGAGAGAAGATCTGCTCCAGTTGTTAGTTCAGCGTGAGTTTGGATTACTCAAATATCTCCGAGTTAGCTTTGCTCTTCATATTGTGTTGCGTTTACAACTCTTAGTAGTTTCCAGTGTAACTACTGATTGTACTCTGTGATACTGTGAAGAGTTGTACGACTGTTTTTGTGGAAAGTTCCAGAACTGTGAAGTGCTTCTTTTGGTAAAATAAGTTTTATGCTATCATTGGTTCTGTGTGCATTCTATCTTTATGAACCCATGTGCACACAACAATATTAATATCCAAATTTAACATTTGTTACCTTTTAGCAAAATATTCAGCACTCTATCATCATTAATTCAGTCACATATGCAAAAGATTAGAAAATTTTTTCATAACATAAAAATTAATATTATTCACACACTAAGATATCTCAAAAGAAGACTTGAAAATACTCTCATTTACGTCTTAGAATGAATTAAACACATTTTTATGAATTAAAAGAAAGTCATCCTATACATGCTTCAAATGTAGGCAAACAGTATGCCTCCAGAACACAACAAAATATATAAATTGCTGGTAATAATGAAGATGACTTAATTTTTTTAATTGGTACTTTTGTACTTAGCAGTATTAAATTATTTTTGTTACTCATATTTGCAGCACGGAATCATCAAAATTTATTCTGTGTATTTTTAAAAAATTTTCATGAATTAATCTGCCTCAGACAAAAAATATAATTTTTTTTCTTTAATAACAATGTCATTTTATTTAATTGTTTAAGTAACTGATAAAATCATGTTAAAATTATTCTGTGTTTGGTTTAAATTAAGTTTCCATATGAATAGATAATTTTATTATAAACTTATTTATTGATTTTGAGAAGGAATTTGGGGACCTAAGGTCATTATTAATGTAAAAAAATTTTATATTTCTGGTTAAGGGTTAATTTAATTTGAAATTCTTCATAATTAAAACTTACATAGTCAGCATAGACAAGAGGAAATAAAACAGGAATGAAATTCAAGTTAGATATTGCAATAATAAAAAAGTTATAAGAAAAAAAAATTTGACTGGTCTGTATTTAACCCTCTGAGCGTTATGGCCGGCTTTATCCGGTCATGAGATTTTTTGTTATTTGTTATATATTAGCTTATAATTTATGATATTTTGCTTTTTTACTTTCTTTAATAATATAAATATCATCTTAATAAATGTAAGTTTACGAAAAGGTAACAGGTCTTCAAGACAGATCCAAAAACCCGCGCCGCTCAGAGGGTTAATATGAATCTCTACAGTAAGCCTTTTTCAAGAAGGTCAGGAAGTTTCATTATACATTAGGAATCTCTCCTTAATATAATACAATAGGAATTGTTAAAAAGGGGGGGGAGAAAAAGAAAAAAACAGGGGGAGGACCTTGTATAGTAATTTAAAAAACTTCTATGTTATTGCTGTTAGAAATCAGTTTTGCACAATAACATCAAATACTTTCTCAAAAATTTTTAATAATTAAATACAATATATCATTAATTGCAAACATTATTTTCACAATACCAGTTTTTTAATATAAGATTGCTTTATGTTTCTGATGTTGGCTGACTTGCATCCTCTTAACATTTGTTGCAAATGTAACTTTCCTTAACATTCAATGCATGGCCATCTGTAAATGACTGAAAATAACTGATGGGATTTTTATTGCACTCATAATAATGCCATAATGCAGCAGAAATTAGATATCACAATGTACCAACACTCATAATGCACCACAAAAATTACAAAAAAAACAATAGAAATACTATTTTAAAACAAGTTTAATGCATTGAATAAAATTTAATAGTATAATAAACTTAACATACATTCTACAAAATGAAATGTGAAAACAAAATATGAAAAAAGGAAAATTCCCCTTCAGTCAGAGATTAAAATTGTTACATTCTTTGCAACTAATTAAAAATCTTTCTGTTTCTGAAATATAAGCAGCTATAACAATTTTAATAAAAAATGAAATTTAAATTCTGTATGCATGAAGTTTGATTTTTTTTAATTTAAATTATAAATTTTGATAAAATATTTGATTAAAAGATTAATGTTTCAAATACAGGGTGTTTATTAAGTCCCGGACCCATTTTGATGTTTAATAACTCATAAAATAATGAAGATATAAACAAACTTATGGCATTTATTGATGGAATAACTTATATATTTTCCTTTTCAGGTTTGAATATCTTTACTTTTGTAAATATTGTCTGCGCGTGTGGTTAATTTCAGATAATTTCATTTTCTAGTCTAAATATCTGTACTTTTCTAAATATCGTCTGCTTATTAATTACATTTTTCTCTCTTTTGCTTTTGGCAACTATTCCAATGTTATGGACTTTTCCTTTGGGGATTTGTGAAGGACAACGTTTACAGGAGGAGAGTGTCGAACACTGATTACCTAAAAGCTAGAATCACAACCGCAATAGCCTCTGTGGATGCTGACATGCTTGCCGGTATCTGGCGTGAAATTGAATATCGACTTGATATTCTCTGTGCGACGAAGGGGGCACATATGGAAGTTTATTGACAAGGGTCATAAAACTTTTTAAGTCTATCTAACCATTTATGTTATTAATTTTAATCTATCTTTATTATTTATGAGTTATTAAACATTAAAATGGGTCCGGGACTTTATAAACATCATGTATAATCCAAAATAAAGCCAAATAAGTTTGTAACAAATGTTTAAAGCCAAATACATGATGCATAACAGTTTACTTCATCTAATGTATTAATATAAATAGTAAATAATTCAAATGCATGGTAGCCACCAGTGGCTAAGTTATTAAATCTACATACCACTGGTAGTTAGGCCATCACAGGTATGGCTCCTGGCAACTGATCAAGGTGTCTTTATGAGATTTTCTCCGAGCACAAAATGAGACATTATCCTTTGAAAAAGAATACCTCACTAACAGACAGCATTCGAGCATTTTGTCATTATTAAATAACTGTCCACATGTACTCTGCTAAATTTAAAATACCGATACAGCTGAGTGAGAACATTAACCAACATGAGAGGTGTGAAACTTAAAATTTATCAACATTTTAGTTTAAATAATTATTTTAACATATGTTACTAAAATAAAGACATTCACAATAACAAATGCATGTTAACTAAATACTTTAACGTACATTAACTATACTGAAGACAACAAAAATTCATTTCAAGTATCTAGACTAAAATTAATGATACTTGTCTCACAAAAAGCTGCAAAAATTTTATATCTTAGCATTAAAAAAAAAGGGGGGGGGCAAGAGATTTCAAACAAATTCCCCTTCAGTCAAGGCAATATTGGGGGGGGGCAATATCTCTCCTCCTTTATAATAATTAAAAAACTGTTCCACGAAATTTTAGGTAGTAGTTAAATAAGTAAAAAAAAAAAAAAAAAAAAAAATTCAATATGTACTTCTCCAAAAAATTTTGCACAAATTCCTAAATAATTTTATTACAAAAATTCTAATTTATGTATTAAAATCATTCCAGCATAATTTGATTGTAGACAATAATTTTAGTTCAATCAACTTAATATAATAAAGATAATAAAGCAAACATATTTTAGTCAGCTGAATAATAAACATCAGTAATACCGGTACTTGCTTCAATTCATAATAAAAATTACAACTGTGATCGTATAATTAAGAGAAAATACAGTTTTGTTAAATAACAAACATTAATAAAGTGGTGAAAATGTACCCACATGTTTGACTAATAGTAGTAAGAGGACTACTATTATTGACAATTGATTACAAAGTTATTGTTACAAAGTAATTTTCAGTCTTAAGACTATCAACATCAGTTATCAATTTGGTAAATATATAAAATAAGAACTACAGCAAATATAGCACACATAAAAATATGTAATTTAAAAACAGGTAAAAAAAAACACACTATATACTTGAAACTTTGCACAAGATAAAATGTTAACCACTAAGTTCAAATATTAGTTAGTTGTTAATCATGCTAAAATTATAAAAAATTTATTTTTCTGATGTTGAACATGGAAACAATTTTGAGTATTTAATTACTATTAGTTATTATTTTATGCTATAATCCAGAATATTAAAAAAAGTATTATGATTAATTATTACCTGGACAGTTGATTTTAGACCCATAGTTAGTTTAAGAATGGAATCATGTTAAGTTTCCAGATAATTTTGTTCATATAACTTTAGAATCTTCAAGAAAATAATACAATATCTAAATTTTCTAAATATCTAAAATCACTACTCTTTAATATTTCTTTCACTGTTATAAAAAGTATCTCTTAGAAATATTTTCTCTAGCAGCATTTATAGATCCATCCAAAATTTTAATTAGTCATATATTGGGAAATATTTAATACATGAGGAGGATACATTTTATTTAACTAATTAGTAAAAGAAAATACTTTCTCATATGCACTTCCTCCCTTGCACAGCCCATATAAAAATTTAAATTCTGCATACTTTCATTAAAATGTGTCATATGGCAAAATTATTGCCGAGTGCTCGTTTATCTCATTTGACGTATTTCTTAAACTGAGCATGGGTCTCTGATTCAAGACATATTTGGTCACAAAATATCTTCAAAATATTGTGTACCTGCTATTGTTCTTGTTATTCTTATATTTCATTTAAAATTAAAAAAAAAAAAAAAAAAACAAGAGTTGCTCTAATATAAGCAAAACTTTAAATAATATAAATTTCCACTTAATTTATGACTAATTTAATAAACAAATTTTTACAAGATTAAAAAAAAAAGCAAATAAATGCTTAAAATAACAACTTGAAGATAGTAAAAATCTTTAAGTAATTGCACCAGCACAGTTAGTTTTGCATTCTACTTTTACATGACTTAGTTTAACTCTTACACTTCAGTGAACATTGAAGATAAAAAACTAGAAATACCTTTTACCTTACATGAAAAAGGTTTTTACTACCTTCAGTAAAACAATGATTCAAACACAGTTTCATTAATATCATGTCTTTGAATATTGACACATATGCATAACATATGTGATCTTTACTGAAAAAAATAAATTAAATACCTCTAAACATAAATAAAATTAGTTTATGTCTTTCTATCATTTGATTCTGGATTAATACTTTGGACTACAAGTGGTTGCAGTGGAGGTGGAAGATGTAAGTTTTCTTCCATGAATTCAGATTCTGGTGAAAGTGGATGCAAAAAACACTTTGCATTTGCATCTCCATCACTTCCATTACTCATCACATCAGTTTCTTTCTGATCAAATGATTCTAAAACATTGTCATCAGTTTTTACATCAGGGAATAATTCAGTGGGATAATCCAAATCTTTAATATTTGGAATAGGCTGACTGCTAGTCTGAACAGTTGAAACATATGAACTGTTTTGTGGCATCACATCAGAGGAAGAAGTAAATGTATCACAGCTAAGGGTAATGGATTTTGCCTGCACAGGGGGAGCAACTTGCAATGACTGAATGGCAGTGATATTATTTACTGGAATATCTGATGATATAGGCTTGGATTCACTCTCCAAAGAGACACTGTGAAAATCTGGTAATGCAAAGCTATCACTAAATTTATTCTGTGGAACAGGATCTGAAGAATTAATAGTTTTATCAGTCTGAAGTTTAGTGACTGGTGACTGAAGAGTTTTGCATTCCAAATCAACAAGAATATCTTCTCTTGGACCCTCCCGAAGAACACGATTTCGAAGTATTTCTGGTATCAGACTCATGTCTGTATCCGCTGGGATGGTATAAGGTGTTTCACTAAGCACGAGAGGTGAAAGAGGTTTATACTTCAGAAGATTTTCCTAAAAAGAATATATAAAATATAGTTAGTTATACACCAGTGTGTAATAATAATAATAATAATAAAAAACTGAAAACTACCTTAATTTTAAACAATTATATGGAATAACCACAAACTAACTGTTAAGAGCTGAAATTATTTTGAGCAAGCAAGAACATGAGTATTATACACAATTATTCAGAAAACCTAAAATCATAGTGATTTAAAATATATTTTATATATTCCTTTAATTAAATTATTTACTGGCATTAAAAACATCTATAACTTTTATATACTTTTGTCCATTATTACCATTACATTATGTTAAGCTATGAATACATTTATCATCTATGTAGTGTGGTAATGTAATGAATCATTTAAAATGTTCTGTGGGGTGGTTTTTTTTTAGAAGATGAATTCAAATGACATAATAAACTACAGGACATAATAAACTTCATTGAATCACATAAGCACCATTCTGTTCTACAACTTCTTGTGATCTCTCCAGCAGCTGGAAGAATATTTCTCTTAAAAAAGTCATTAGGTTTACTTGTAAAGAAGTTACTGAAGTGTTTGGCAGTCTCCAAATATGTGAGAATTTGGCAGTCTCCAAATATGTGTGAGTAAGTGGCCTGAAGATATGAAAATCTGAAGGGGGAGGCAAAGTCTGGAAAGTATGGGAGGGGATAATACATCGTTGTCTGACATTCATCGAAATACGGGGCCAAGTATCATCATGATGGAAGACAACATCGCAACAATTGGTCAGTTTTGAGTGCTTTGTTTGGATTTATGCTTTAAAACTGCCACTTGGGAAAAGCATTTTTTAAAAATTTATATTTGGATTCTTAAATTTATAGTATACAACTGCTTTATATAGTCCTACCATACAAAGTATTACTCTTTTTGTATGCAGCCTCCCTTGATGTTACTAAAAAGGTTCTTTTGACTTATGCTACGATCTTTTTCTTGAACATTATTATATAGTATCCACTGAGTAATGAAATATTTCAAAAAAGAAACTGCGTAATTTCTTTTCAGCAAAGAATCACATGCCAAAACTCCAAGCAAGCATATTCAGCTCTATCAAAGTATGGGGTATACACATAGTATAGCAGCTAACATACCCAGTCTTCTTCAAATGATCAAGTACTGTACTTTTATTAATCTTTAATATGCCCAACAGTTCCTGAATTTTATGATATGGATTTTGATCAGCAGCTTCAAAAACTAATAGGCCTTTGCTTACATAGAATAGTCACTCAGAGTGGGCATGATCTACCTACGAAGGTGAAATTTTCATGCCTAAACTTCTTAAATCACCTTTAAACTGTGTCATCAGAAACAGCACTTTGCTCACATATAATAAAAAACTTAGGAGCAGTTTTAGTCCTTAAGTGTTTTTGAAGCTAAGCAATCTAACTAACAATTTCTCATTTTTTAATTTAAAAGAGCATACCATGACAAAACTGAACTTTGGGATTTTCCATTCTTAGTACTAAACCGGTAACAAAAATTATGCCACAACATATGCAAGAATCACCCAACATAAGCAGAAAAGACAGCACTTAAAAAACGGTTTGGAGAGGCCACTCCTTACCAGCAGTAACAAAATAATTAGAAGAAGACATGCTTTAATTTAAAAAAAAAAAAAAAAAAAAAAAAAAAAAAAAGGCACTTTCTGGATGACTCATTATGATTTAAATTAAAACAACACATTACTTAAAGAACGATTTAAAAGCAATATATGAGCTTCTATTAATTTATATCTTTTATTTTTTAATGCTGTTATGAATTTTGACCTTAAATAGATAATTTTGACAGAATTATATGTGAAATTGTTGTATTTTTCTGTGTAATGTAGCGCAAGACAAATTTTAACAGAAAGCAATGCCAGAAAAAAAAGAATACAGGGTAAAGTGCATTTAACATTGAGTAAATGGGCATCTCAGTAATTTGGCGGGATACCGCCAAGCTGACAATGGTTTTGGCAAGAAATTCCAAAAAGTCGCCAAATTTGGCAACATTTGAATCTTCTTCCTGTATCACTATTATATGTATTGAAACTGAATAAATGTAATTGACCACTATGTTTGTCATAACGGTAATTCCACACTCTTATTGCTTTCCAGTAATTATGAGAAGCAGAAAGTACTAGAAATATCTCACAGCCAGTTGAAAACTATAAAAGGCCACAGAGAGATAGCATCTGAATTCAGTTGTTTAGTCAGTCAGTTAGTTGCAAGTTGTTTAGTTCTGCATGAACTGAGATATCCAAGTTAGCCTTCTCTTCAGATGCGCTTTGCATTAAATTGTGTTAAACGTTTTTTTAGTAGTTTGATGCATAACTACTGATTGCACTGACACTTATACAAGTTTTTCTGCAGAAAATTCCAGAACTTTGAAGTGTTTATTTTGATAAAATAAATTTTTATTAACCTATCAGCGCACATGTGTGCATTCAATATATTACGAACCTGCACGCATGCAACACTTTTTATTTAATCAATAATTTTTATGAATATTGACACTATTATCATCATTAATAATTAAGTTCTAAAGCTATATTTAAGATCTTGGTGCATAATAATCATTTGTGCACCACCTAACGATAAGTTTTATTAAATTTCTTCATATTTTTAGTCAAAATTTTAAAAACAAAATTTTGAAATTGAACTATTTTAGCTTTTTTTTTTATAAATCATTATTAAATATGGCATTATCTCATGTATGTTATTTTTAAATTTTCAGAAGCAAAATTATGTCTTTTTTCAAAATAACTATTCATATGTTATTTTCAAAATAACTATTCATAAGTTAATCCGATTTTTTTAAGAAGTTAAAATACTTTAGAAATGAATACAGCTTTAATTCTTTTAGTTAGGAATGTGATGATAAGAAAAATAAATTATATCAATCAAGAAAATTTCTTAACCACGTATTTCTGAAATGTATTCTACTGTGTATCAACTACAGAGCTTTCTATTTTCCTATATTATAAAAACGACATAAATGAACCATGCTACTCAATTTGGCAAAATTATGATTAACATAAATAATTTAAAACCATTCATTTAATAAATTACATTTATAAATCGATACTTAAGAAAATTAGAGAAAAGTGTTTTCATTTTAATAAATAAATAAAAAACTAATAAATTACACAGTTAAACTGCTACATCTGAAGTATATACAAATTATACAATCCCACTTTTTTACTCTAGAGCAGCTGTCCTTAGAACTATAAGGTAGAACCTCATTCATCCTAAATTATACATTATTTAATCCTAAATTATATATAATTTATTATAGGTAATTTATGCAGACAACTAAAAAAAAGCACTATGTTTTCTATTAAAAAAATTTTAACATAAAATTAATGTAATTTACTTATTAAGAGCATTAACTTGTGCTCCAAGCCTCATATTTTTTTATTTATCCATCCTTGGCCTATACTCATATTTAGTGGCAGGGCATGCTTGCATTTTTTTTTTTTTTCCATAAACTATTGAAACCTAGCTCTATTGATGTTATCTGCAGTTGCATTTCATATGCAAAGAGGAATATGAAAGATGCAAAGAATGCAAAAATTATGTAGCATGCTGTTTTTTTCAGTATATAAGTGCAAAGAACAGTAAACTTATTTTTGCCATAATTTCTTAGTATTTCTAGTAATTAAGGTGTATATGATATTTCTTTGTATGCTATACAAAAATTATAATAAACTTAAAAATACCTTAAATCTCACCATTTCTTCCTGAAAAGTACGCATTTCATTCAAAACTTGATTACTTTTCTCTCTGATTTCATTTAGGGAAGCTAAATTCTGTGACATGAGACGAAGACCTTCACAATCTGAAGGATTTTGTTCTGTGAAACCAATAGGGACTTCACCAGCCAAATAGCGTTCAAATTCATCATTACTTAAATTCAAAGATTCGGCTGTAAGATTTTCAATGAATGTGACTGCACAACACTGAAATAAATTAAAGTACATACTATAATATAATAACTACCTTAGGTCAATAAAAATAACATCATGCTTCTTTACAATAACTATGCACAATTAAGATAAAATAACACGCCAAACAAGTATTTATTTAGAGGTCAAACCAAAATCAGCATTATATTTGCAAATTTTTGTTGTTTGATGTCTACATTAAAACTATGCTCAAATATAAAAATCACTAGTTTTCTTTGTTACTATTTTAGTATCACTGCTTTTGTGGATTAAAGCTTAGCAGTAAAAAGAAACAACATTTTGAAATAAAATTCTGAAAAACAGCCGGCAGCACAAATTAATTATTGCATCAAAATTTCCACACAGAACAATTTCAACTACTTTTTTTTCTTTTTTTAAATTAGCTTTTATTATATGTTTGAAAGCTTAATTATAAAGCATTACCAGATTAGTAAAATAGTATGCTCCTTCTCCACTTCTTAGTCTGGCTGGTATACTGTAGCTAGTAATATACTTGATATTAGACTGTAACAGTGGTGGGTTTGCCTTCAAAACTATATATACCATAACAGGTAAAAATTCATCAGCACTAGCAACTACTCCTTGAGAAATATTTATTATATTGACTATATTCTTACTGCATTTCACAATAGACTGTATTTTCTCTTGTGGAGCTATTTTTGAATCCATTTCAATGACATCTGGAAAAAAATTACATTATTATATGAAATATATTTTAATTTGATCATTAAAGAAACACCAGCTGCAATTGTTTTGAAAACAAAAAATATTTCCTTATACTTCATACTAAAATAAATTTCTACACGTTATTCCTCTAACACTAAACAAACTATGTTTAAAACACAACTTTTATCATTACAGTATATTCTAGATTAACTGTGCCCTACAGAAAAAGATTATGCTTGTTTATAATGTAATGCTGAGAAAATTACAATAACAAACAATCAGAGTGAAAAAATTACAAAAGAGGAAAAGAAGAATATCTGAAATAACAGCAGTTAAAGCAGATGATGCTATAATACTTGGATGTTAATTGTTCCTAATGCTAAACATAGAAATGTTTTTAAATTCTTGTTATAATTACAGTTTTCGGTACTTTTCCGTTTCGCCGGCGCAAATCTCGTCAAGCAGACTTTATTGGTGACAACATACAGTATACACATAAAAAATGTTAACAAATGTTAATTCTACGAATTCTTTATTTTGAAGGCTAAATATTTTAATATCATTTAAAATTTTGTAAAAAGACATTCATTTAAAAATTTACTATGCTTTCATAGTTCAACATCCTGACTTGCCGGTTCATATCACACGACTCAAATGATCTCATCTCACGTAAACTACACTACAAAAATCTAATTCTCTCAGTAATTTTCTACATTAATTACAAGTTAAATCTTAATTTGGAACACAAGTTTAAATTCAAGAATTATTTCAATTCATACGAATAGCTTACTCAGAAATTATCTAAAACCGCAGTGCTTTACTTTGCTAGTGCATTCTCATTAGAATTCACGAATTTAACCCTTGACTTTGCTTTTTCTATATTTTTGCCTTATAGGTGAGCAGTGTGATTCCATTCTGATTGACTTAATTTCCGCAAACTGCCTTAGGGCATAAAATTGAACTATATGGTAAAAATTCTATCTACCGTAATTTCCGGAAGAAAGGCCACATCAGCGTAAATGCCGCACTCGAGAAAAATGGCGGGAAAAAAATTAAAATTACACAGAAACGCCGCAATAGATTAAATTGCGCATGACATCGTCGGGGGCCGTATAGATGCAAAAACTCAACCTAAGTCCTGATATATGACATACCAGTTAAGAAAAATGCATGAAATGAAACCATAACTCAAAAATGAATTAAAAGTAATAAATGTGGAAAATATATTTACCTTCACCGTATATATACTTATATTTATCCACTAAAGAAGTCCATATTTGTAATACTCAGACTATATTATAAAAAATGTTGCGCAACAACGAAATATTAAATTTGGATGACAAAAGGAAATTTTACTTACGAATTACAGCAAACTATACATCATATGAAGCCATTAAAATCTGATTCTTCACTATCTGAATTAAAAAGATTTAGTAAATCCTGATCTAAGTCTTCCAGATCCTCACATTCATCCTCTTGGTTTACAGTCTCTTTATCTAAGGATATAATTTCAGCTTCTTTGAACCCTGCTATTATTGACAATGTTTCTACCGATTTCCACGCACTTCCTGCCCACTTTGCAATTTCTTCATAAGATGCTCTACATTTTACCGCTTTTGGTTTACGTATGCAATCCTTCACTCATCCAACACTCCCACCGCTTTCGGACTTCAGCTTTGAAGGATTTATTACCTGACAAATCTAACGGTTGTAAGATTTTTGTCAAACCACCAGGAATTATTGCTTCGGTCGTAGACAATTTTTGACATCTGGTTTTCACTGACTCAAGTAAATGAGCACGCATGGAATCCATTATCAATAACCCTTTTGGTTGGAAAAAAGATCCCATACGACACTGCCAAACTTTTTGTAGCCGCTCATGCATGATTGTTTCGCACATCCAGCCGTTCTCGTTTGCACAAATAATTACGTCATTAGGAAAATCTCTCTTCGGAATAGTCTTTCGTTTAAAAATGATCATCGGCTTTAGCTTGTCACCGTTTGTGGCACAAGCTAACACACATGTAAATGACGTTATTTCATGCCCCGTCGTAAGCACAGATACAGTTTTTGCACCAGTTTCATCAACACTTCTGTTTGCAGGAGAGTCGAAAGCTAACGGCGTTTCATCCATATTTATTATCTGTGACCGAAGAAGTTTTTTTTTGTCAATAATATCTGTCACATATTTTTAGAAAAGATGCCTTTTTATCCTGCCAGTCCATTGGTAATTGTTGCCCGACTGTTGTTCTAGTAGGCACAGAAATATTTTTTCTTTTCATAAATCTGCTACACCTCCTTTGAAATCATTATATTCATTCGTTTTGCTATAAATTTTGCTTGTAAGCGAATTTTTACAGTCGAAATTGCCATTCCCTTTCCTCGTTGCTCCTTTTTCCAGTTTTCAAGGTCGTCCTCTAGATTCGGCCACCTTACAGTATCACTTCTTACGCTCGTTTCTGTTGTGGCATATTTTAAAGTTCTTTTTCAGTTCTCCAACGTCGAATACAACTCTCGTCAACTTCAAACTCTCGAGCTGTTGCTCGATTTCCAATTTGCTCAGCACGTGAAATTACATTAAGCTTAAAACCAGCAGTATAGCTTCTGTGCCGTTTAGGTGACATTTTCAAAAATTTTCCACTCCCTTCTTACTTAAAAAACTATCCAACAAGTACTTGTACCCAAACTGATGGGATCTGTATCTGGCAGAATGCCAAGAAAAATTGATTCATGCTGAAGGGGAAATATGTCAGAGTTCGTTATTGCAAGGCAGGTGGAGTCGTATCCGCCTTTGAAAAAAATTGCAGAAAAGGCAGGGGTGGGGAGAGGATGGGTACTGGAAGATTCATCGAATGGCAGAGGAGAGAGACTATTCAAACTGATGAGATGGTTGATTTGAAAGGGGGAAGAATGTTATTGTTCTGAGATCTCGTTTAGGGTGAATAAGGCATGTAGATCCGTTCAAGGGAAAGAATGTAAACAAAATAACGTTCGCAAAAAGCAACTGAGTGGTCTTTTGTGTGGGAACAGCACCAGTCTATGCACAATGACAAGGCCATCCAAACTATGTACAATGACCATCATAGGAAATATTTTATATTTAGTACACCTAAACGCCGCACACCGCTGAAAATTTAAGTTTTAAACACGTAAACGCTGCGGCGTTTCTTCCGGAAATTACGGTACTGAAAAAGAAAATACGAAAAATTGCTGAATGAGGTAAAAGGTTACCAGCAAGGATATTCCATTTGGCTTCGGTTGTACCATTACTGGCGACTTTATCGCCAGCGCCAGAAAAATGGAAAAATACCTAGTTTTCAAAGTATAAAGTGAAGATAAACGGTATGATGAAAATTAACTTTCTTGCAAAAGAATTTATTATAGATGTAAATAAAGTATGAGAAACAAATATTTCTTATAATCAAGACTTACAAAAATGTATTCGAAATACATTTAAGACACATAAACAATAAAAACGAAAAACACAGCCCAAAGATTATCAAGTAATAATACCAGTAGTAAATCAATAAATCAGTCTTATTAAACATATTTTTTTTTTACTCCTTTTACTTCTAGAAACATTTTTTAAACATATCTATAATTTACATACAGTTTTTGGTAAATTAAGAGAATGATTATTTGTTCAAATTTTGCCATATGAAAATGTCAATCAGTCACATTAATAATTATTTAGATATCAAGTAAATTAAAAAAAGGTAAGTGAGACGTCATTTTTTGCAAATGAGGGTTAATTAAATCAAAAGGGGAAAATTTAAGACGACTAGACCTTTGTACTTGAAGACTTAAAAGTATTTTCAGGGCCGGATGTACGTATAAGCTACACAAGCTTACGGCTTGTAATACACGCAAGCTTGTGTAGCTGATATGTATATTACGTAGCTTATACGTAGGGCCGGATTTACGTATCAGCTACACAAGCTTAGGGCTTATATTACATTTACGTATAAGCTTAGGCCCCCCCTAAAATTAAAATATAGTATTAATAGTATTAAAATATATTTTAACAGACTTATAAAGAGCTCCATATCTCAAATAGCTTAGGGTCTTATCAAGTCTAAATCTGGCTCTGAGTATCTTTCATATTATAACTTAATAATTTCAAATATTGTACTTATATATTATGATAAAATGCATATTAAAATAATTAAATTAGTTTTATAAACTAACCTGTGATAGCTTTATCTATCAGGTCACTAACTTCAGGACTATTCTCTTTGATGTCTAGAAATAAATGATGAGGCATTATCCAATTTAAACTCCTGATGCGCTTTTGTAAAGCAAGGTCTTTCTCTTCATATTCAGATGAAATATTCTGAAACATAGTCCTATGCAAATTCTCCATCAGTACTTCCTCAATTTTATCCATCAGCAGATCTATTTGTTCTGGGGTCATATCTAAAAGTATACATCACAATTAAAAAATTACGAAGTTATGTTAAGCATAAAATTACTCTATTAAATGAGATCCCAGATCCGAAAATTTCAGGGCAATAACTGAATTTTATAAAAATGAAACAAAATATTTTGTACTTAAACATGTTTAAATTCAGAAAATTATTTAGGTATTTAACAATAAACAACTAGGAAAATATATGAACACAAACACACACACGAAAAAAACTTTGCACCAAATATGTATTTGTATTTGCATAACAGTTAAGTGTAAAGATGCATAACCCTGGTGTTATGCAACCAGTACCTAGGATAAATGCCACTGCAGTTATAGTGTCTTAGCGGAGACTCTAGAATACCTGGCAACTTCTAGAGTATTTTGTCTTACCAATGACAGTCAACAGCAGACCTTTTTGTTATTTTTGAAATTTTTTGTTCTTTGAAGAACATTGAGAGTTAAATGCAGTAGTACGTGTAGAAACGAGGTTCTCTGCTGCAGAAGCACAACTTGCACTAAGTGAAAACCTAAATTTAATCAGTGACTTTCAGTTTAACAAACTAGATGAACATATCGTGTCAGACCATGACACAGTGAAATTTTACGATGGATAACATGTGAATGTACTTGATTGGTACAACATGATTTGAGCCTGCTTATTAACAGTTCATTCAGAAAAACAGGTACTTGAAGATGTAGAAAGATTATCCAGAATGCTTGGGTAGATTCCTATTACTATGTAGTCTTCTAGTGCATTGTTCCATGTTAGGGCTCTATGGATCACATTACTGCACCACGCTCGAGAGACTCACAGCTACTGGTCACGTTGACAAACACCTCGGATAGATACAGCACGAAGGTTAGTATTCAGAATCACCAGAACCGGGAAGACACACAGCCCTTTTTCTCTGTCAGAAGGATTGTTCTGCAAAATTACATAGTTCACCTTTTCTGCTCAGCACAGTCACAGATGTAGGAATGTAAATTTTCAATACTTTTTTATCCTGCACTTTCTTTTTTAATTTATATATGGCTGAAAATGAGAATTTAACTAGAAATTCTGCTTTTGCAGGCAAAACCGAGATAGACCTTTCTTCCCAAACTAAGGAAACCCAGAGGAAATCAACTGAAGGAGCAGAAATGAATCCTTCACGAATGAGGCAGAAATGACTTCTACTCAAGTGAATCAACATCTGGAGAAGGGCAGGAGGCTATTAAAAGCATGACTGCCTCTCTAGATAAAAAGACATTCTGGATAACACACACACAAAAAAAGGGGGGGATATGCGGTTGAGAATTGAAAATTGCCCAAGATACTTGGGTTGAAAAACCCAAGATGAAAGGTGAAAAAAGGCAATCTCAAAGGATGGAGCAGAATACAGCCATGAAGACTGCCAAAAGAGACAGACCTGAAGATTATACCTTCAGCAATGCCGTTATGATGGTCAAGATGGCTGTACTCATTGAGGGACATCCTGAAAAACGTTTATCGGAGGTACAGGCTACTGACCTTGAACTTCTGATAATACTGACTACTTTAGGTATTCTCAATACGAACCATTTACACCTGAGCTCTATTAAGTAGTGGCTGTTAGACTTTATAAACAAAGCGGGTGACCTAAACAAATGGAACTAGGAAGTACTGGGTTTGGTGAGTTTGGTACAAAATGCTATTTAGCTTAAGTGCCTGATACCTGACAAATTCAACTTGAAGGAGAAGGAAGTATAATCTCCCCTTATCTATTTTAATAACTATCTAATGTATTTTCTTATGCTATTTTAATTTTTATGATATCCATAACTATAAATATTAAATGTGCATAAGTTTTACAAGTGAAAAAATTAATGGATAATCATTAATAAGCATTTCAAACTAAGAAACAATAAATTATACATAATTCAATGTATAAGAAATTAATACAAATAAATTTAACAAATATACAAATACTATACAGCAGTTACAGGAAAAACACTGAGCCATGAATGGCAGTTATGCAATGGTTCTGATGCATATCATTGTCCAACTGTAATATACATGCCTTTAATATATATTCTGCTACCATTTTGGTAAATCAGTGACGTCACGAAAGCAAGGAATGAATAGTTTTCAATAAGAAAAGCAGCAGGCTAGATGAAATCATATACCATGGTGTGGAAATCAATATGATAACCCAAAATATCTTACAATGCTTAATCAGGAATAAGTAAGTTTTTTGGCTCATTAACTCAGTTTAAATCCTTAATGCACCATGCATTCATTTAGAAAATTCACCATACATCTTAAAGAGACAGAAACCACTACAGAGTGATATTAAAATTGTAATAGATATGCAAAACAAGAACATTTATTTCAGCATCATCATACAATATTTCATCATAATCCAATATCCAAATCTCGAACTGGTTCCTTAATCTCAAACTAACTCTAAATTTATAAGTTCTATGTACTTCTGAAGAAATCAGTTCATTTTTTCCAAGCAATAACCAATTCATAAATGATTTTTTGTTGCCAAATGAAAACTTTTTGACACTTCAGGTTAATACATATGATGTCATTATTTAAAGTAATATAACAATATTTTCTCAATATAACAATATTTTCTCAATCAATTATAAAAGAATTAATGTCACAATAACATATTGTATCAATTATATTAACCTGAAACAAAAAGTAGCCAACAGCAGCTATTTATTTTAAATGCTCACATAAAAGAAAAAATTTTTTGGCATACAATGACGTCAGATGCATTTGTGCGCTTTCTTCAACATCAGAATATGACCTTACATAATAATATGTTAATATGTTTAATGTTTGAAAATGTTATTTTTATTTCATATTTTGTAAAACTTCCAAATGTTTTATTAACAAACTCTACAATCTGAAGGTACACAGCAGCAAAACTTTTCAAAATAAAACAGATTTTTATCTCCAACGTGAGAGTCTGTTGCCACTCAGAAAAATGAGTGCGAAAATTAATGCTTTCAGAGTTTTTAATTAATATCTCGACTCAAAGATGAGAATAGTCGAAATGACTTCACATGAATCTTTGTTGGAATTTAGATGAATATATTAATATGCTCTTTTTATTTCATGATTTGTAAAGCTTACAAATTTTTGATTAACAAGTTTTACAATTTGAAAGCGAGCAGTGGCAACACTTTTCCAAAAATAAAGCAGATTTTTACCTCCAGCGTGCAAGACAAGACACAAGCAGACAGACAGATATGCACAGACTTTTGTAGTATACATTCTGAAAGATTAAAATGCCTAAATGCTAAAACAGTCATTATACTAGTTTACTTTAGACAACAGTGTAGACTGCAAAGTTATTAAACAAAAATCTTTTCATCAACCAACACACTTGTCTACACATTAAAGATTCTGATAGAACAAAAAAACTAATAATGTTAATTAAAAAAAAAAAAAGAAGAAAAGAAAAGCCTTTTCATTTAAAAATTAAATATGTATTACATACATACCTTGGTAATAAGGATGAGTCTCACACCTATTAGCCATAAAGTTGTAAAAATCTTGCATAATCTCAGACTGCTCATCTATAGACTTATCAAAACATCTACTTATTATCTCTAGTTGCCTCTGAATTTGTTTGATGACATCTTTTGAGACTGGCTCTTTTAACTGAAGATCTTTGCTTAGCTGTAAGACTTCTCCAATCAAAAGCACATCACGGGAAGGTGAGTGAGTAGTACTCTCTAAAATATATTATCATCATGTAAATATAATATTAACTATTACACCACATATAAAACAAAGTTACAAACCACATTTAAAAAACAGAAAAGTTATTATCTGCACTAGAAACATAAGCACCTACCATTTTTCTTTAGCCAAATAAATAATAATAACAATAAAAAGCATTTTATAGATGAATCATAAGTAAAATATATAGACAAAGCGGTAAATTTACAAAACCTATCTATACTATATATGTATGTATACTATCTATACTATATCTATATATATGTTTACTAAAGAGAACAATAGTTTGATCTTCAGTCTTACAAATTCCACTCTTTCATAATTAAAAAAAAAATAATAATAATAAAAAAGTTAACGTGTACAGAAGTCAGAATAAGTATCACAGATAACTTTAAATGAGAAAAATAAATTCAGATTTTCAAATAAACACAACATGAATTTTTAATATATATTTTACCTTTCATAGTTTGTCCTCTCTTTATAATACTTTTTATTGTTTTACTTCGTTTTTCTGATTGCTGCTTTTTCTTTTCCTCAAATTTGGAAAATCCAACAAGAGAACTATCTTGAGCATCACTAAAACTGCGAGTGATTCTACAGAAGTCATAAAATTAATATCAGTCATGACATTACATTAATATGAGAATTTAAAATGGTAAAAATTTGTAGAAACTTGCAAGTAATGCAGAGAGTATATTAAAATTTCCACTACAATACAAATGTTAAACATCTGGCAACTAGGACCATAGTTTATATGAATATGAAACAAAATCTAGATAAACACATACACTGCTTTTATCCATAAGCTAAGTATGAGTTCATAGTCATGCAAATGAGAGATTTTTTTATTTGATGTTATCAAAGATGATACAGTTGAAAAGTAATTTAATTATTGCCAAATTTAAAATTTTCAGACAAAACCAAAAAATAAAATTACACAAGGAATACTTAAACAGAAGATACACTTTTCTTTTTGGTAAAATTAAGCAATAAAATAAATTTTTATTGGCCAAAATATACAACTCATTTCAATTAAAATAAAGCAAATTAGTTTTTATTTATGTGAGCCATATACATAATTTTAATTTAATTTTTCTATACTAAAATTAAACAATAATTAAAAATCATTTTAAAACAAATAAAGAACTTACTTCTATGCAATTAAAATTAAACTACGACATACTTCTGCAACCTATATTATAAGAATTAAATGTTTATACTAATGCTAATCAACTGTAAATTTCTTGCACATGGATTTATTGAATTTTTATTCTGAAAGATATGTTCAGGAATTGTCTCATAACAAAATAAATGTTAACCTGTTATCCTCGATAAGTAGGATAAAGAGTAAACTTCAGCTTTTGAAATATTACAGTTCATAATTCTCACAATTTTTCATAACAATAACAATCTTTTACCTAATTTCTCACATGATTTTTATAAATACATCCAAACATTTTAATTTCACAGCACACATTATCTTCAAAGCATTTTCATTATTATTATTATTTTGTTCTTTCCTGTTTATCTCAAATAGATTCTATTTGAGATAAATATTTCTATAATGTTTTACTAAACAGTTTATTAGATAACTGTTTTTTAATACTGAAAGTCTTAAAACTGCATCGGCTCTAGTTGCTTCAATATTCTGAAAATATAACCCCCCTTTTTTTGACAGAAATGAAACTTTCAGTGATCTGTTATGCCCTCATCAGCCAGATTTAACATCTTGAAAATTTTCTCTCTCCCACTTTCGAGAATAAAATCCAAAATGACAGTTCAGTGAACATTCAAACTATATTGATGGGCATGCTACATGTGCTGCATGGAGTACGGAATGGTGAAACATTGCAGCATCTTACTAAAAGTGTTGGGGCTGATATAAATATTTCAACTATTCAAGTTTTAAAATTTGGCTATGTATATCATGTCTGCTTTTATTAGTTTGATATAGCCAAGAAATGTCTAAGATTAAAAATATGCAGTACTGTTGAAAATGTGCATTGTATTTCAATATGAATGGTTACTTTAACACTAAAGTGATGAAAAGTAACAATTATAACTTAAGACCAGTGTAAAATCATCTTTTTTAAAATTAAATCTTTGTAAATATTTAAACAGATGCCACAGCAGCAAGAAAGCTGTTTCACGGTATTATACATGTGAATTCCACTTACATAAGCCCATCGATTTATAATATAAAAACCACTACATAATCAAAAATTAAAGAAAAAGTTTTCCTACAATCGATTACAAAATATTACAATTTTTTAAAACTTACTTTTTTGATAATCCTTTAATATCTCTGTCTGGTTTAATTTTCTGATTGAGCTCCCGATAACATTTGGAACAATAGCCTTGCCATTCTGGATTTCCATAATATCCACATTTATTTTTACATTTCAGCTCATGTCCATGCAGACCAGCAGCCTTATACTTAATTTTACAAGATGTACTAAGAGACATTTTAGTATTTTTACCTGTAAACATAACAAGTTTTTATTTATTTATTTGGAAAACTAATATATAATGACACATTTCATTAATAACAAATAATTATACCATTATAATGCCTATTTTCAGGATACAATTCCAGATTAAAGAAAACCACTGTCAAGAAACAAATATATGCTAACGAAATTTTGTAATCTAATCAGTGAAACTGAGAATAAGGACATACAAGAACAGAAAAATGACATAGCAAAAACTTATGTCTTCAAAGTAACACATTGTGGAAATTGTGAATACATTGAGGCAATGCTTCCAACTAGAAATGGCAGAATGAAATTAAACTAGTACAATTATCTAAGATTGAAAGTTCAATTTTACAGAAAAATTCAAAATAATAATAATAATAAAAACTATCCAAATCTATTTTTAAAAAAAGAAAACTACTTAACTGCACTGCCAAAGACCCGTATAAAATATATTATATATACACACGGTCCCCTGAAATTCATAATGAAAGGACTATAATAATAATCAAAGGACTATAATGATAACTATGTGCAAATTTGAAGAAATAACGCATTATAAATAAAAACACAATATATGAATTAAGTATTTCTTTTCTATACTGTTTTATGAGAACATCAGCATTATGAAATCCTGGCAGTTCAAAATTACTGTTTATTTACACTTAAAACACAGGTCAATTTCCTAACAAAGTCTGTTAAAATTTTACAATATACTTAAATGGCGACCAAATTTCACTCAGATCTCAATTTAAATTAACAATAATTATTTTCTCAAGAACCAACTTCTTAAATTTCTGCTTACTTTAAAAAACTTAAACAAGACGTATACGAGTTTATAAAAAAAAAAAAAAAAAAAAAATGTTACAGAAAACATGCTTATATTATAAACTATAGAAGTGATCACACTGAAGAATTTAAAAAAAGATAATTCATCGATTCATAAGAGCAAGAATTTTTAAATAACCGCTCATTAATAACTTCTTGGCAACACGAAATTTTACTTTTTCAAAATAAAATAAAAAATGATCCAAACTAATTCAAGATTGAATAATATAAAAATACATTTTATATTATGATACCAATAATATTACGTAAAAGTAATTTTATTATAATAGATTATTTTAACTTACTTTCTACAGAATTCTCTCTTTTGAACAGTACAATAAATATGGACATTATTTATGAATATATAACTAACTTTCATACAAAATGTACTGACAAAAATAATGCTAGTGGAAAGTACGGATTTTGTGATGAATTTAAAGTATTGGATAACATAATAACAAGCAAAACGAAAGCCACGACATTTCGTATATAAATACACTTACTGGTATGTTACACGTATTTTAGAAAAACTTTCATAAAGACGGACGATACATCTGACAATCACATGCTTCTGCGATCGTTCCCAGAAAAGATAAATACTTGGGTCTTATTCAAACAATGAGTAACTGCATTCATCCAGTAAACAAAACAATGAAATCGACTGTCATTGCCATATTCGCAATAGAATGGAATAGTTGCCTTAAAATATTTAAATACATGGAATAATTACAGCTATATTATAGCTCATAGACACATATAAAAGCTTGCAGATTTTAATAGAAGCATTTTTAAGTATTTTAAAAAATATAAATTTATCTTTCTTGGTTTCAATGAAAATATTTGATTTATTAATTTTCAATAAAAGTTATTTTTGTCCTCCGAGCAAAAAGACTTAGTGAGTGCATATAGTGTTTGTCTATTTTGTAAACTTTAGAGAATGATAGAAATGTATAAGTTCAATAGTTTTGTACTTTTTATTAAACAGCTTATGTAAATGTTTTTAATGTTGATTTTTTTATTTGTTCATAAATTTTTTTATTGCATATAATCTTTAAACTTTGTTACACCATGAATGAAAGTTTTGAACCGGATATTAAAACTGAAAAAATTACTGATACGGTTGATAATCACAAAGAAAATATTAATGAGAATAAGCCAGCTGCTATGTCTCACCAAGAAGCACTAGAATTTGTTGCAGAGGGAATGGCGGATATAATAAAAACAGATCCATTGCTTAAATATTTGCCATCGTCCGCTACTTTAGAAGAACTTAATTCCATGTTAGCTCTGGAGCATGGTCGAGCAATGACTGTAATAGTTCACAGGGCAGATGGGCAGTCTTATTCTGTTGTTGTTGAACAAAAGGCTACGGTGATGGACTTGAAAAAAGCAATACAAAGGCATGTTGAATTGAAATTGGTAAGTAATTGGTAATTTGATAATTTTACTGTCTTTGAGTTTGACAACCAAGCTAAGGGGAAAGTGCAGAATCACCCACTGGTTGGTGCGTTTCTAAGAATTGCACATACTCGGTATCCATGTACACATCGACCTATTTTAACTTGAAAAAAAATCCCAGAATTGCACAAAAATGGCATTATGTACTCCCTTGACTTTATCTATGTACACATGACCTACTTTCACTTAAAAAGTAAAAGAAAATTGACAAAAATCCAATTCTTATCCTTGTGAAAAGCGCCAAACAAATAAGTGGGCGATTCTGCACTTTACCCACAAGATAGTTTTTTTTAAATCTCAAAATATTGAATTTCATGCATTTTAAGAGGTTTATTTGAATTGTCTATCACACACACACAATACTTTAGAAGAGAGAGATAAAGTTTTCATTAAAACAGTTTTCATTTTCGGTTGATCTTTACAATATGGTAACTGGTAGTTTGGCGACATTTTGGAGGCGATAAAGGTTACTACCTGGGACTTTGGTAATAATGTGAGCAGTACTCAGTTCCGATTACGCATTATTTTGCATGAGGGAAATGAGAGATCATGGGATATGTCATGTGATATTAATGGACGAATTACGGTTCTTTAATCGGAAAAGGGGGGAAATCGGGAAAAAATGGAAAATTTTGTATTTAGCTTTATTCTGTGTTGTGTGAAACAGTGTTGTGTAATTTTGGATCCCATGGCCCTAACTAAAGTGAATTCGAAATGGGTATTTAGGCATTGTGATAAAGAGAAGTTTGCTTTTTTTAGCGAGGAAGTAAAGATGGAAAAATTCGCCTGAAAAAACTTGAATAATTTTATTGAATGAATTAGAAAAGTGTATCTGCCACGTAATCAAGATTCTGAAGAAGATTAGGTAAGTTAGTATTTTTAATTATTGAGGATATTATTTTTATGCATTGTTCTAAATGTAGGTGGAAAGGAATTTGGATTATTGGGAAAATTGTTATTAGCCAATGATTTTGTTTAAAGTAATTAGGATTGTAAGGTAATTTTTATTAATTTAATGTATGTGCTCATTTATATTTTAGTAGTGTTTTTGAATTAATTATATTTTAGAAATGATAGTTATTTTGTGAATTTTTGTTTGTAGGAATTTGGTATACGTTTAAGTTGAAATAAAACGTGCATGGAAATAATTTAAATATTTGATACTAAGTATTTGTAATACTTGCGGTATGAATTCGTTGGTGACTTGTTATAATGTAATAGATGATTAGAGGTAAAAGTTTTTGGATATTTTATTTATTTTATAGTGGAAATGTTCATATTTGTAAAGGGTAAATACTTTTTCGCGATCAGGTAATTTCATATATGTTCTTTTTACCGGTTTAAAGATTGAGAAAATTGTCATGTATTTTCGTGAAATTTTCTAATTTATGAGAAAAAAGCAGTGTACATGGATATAGTGAAGAGTGTGCGCAATGCCATTTTTGTGCAATTCTGGGATGTTTTTTTAAGTAAAAATAAGTCGACGTGTGTACATGGTTTAGTGATATTTTAATTAAATGATAGTTATTTTGTGAATTTTATGTTTGTAGTAGGTATTTGGTACGTTTAAGTTGAAGTAAACGTGCATGGAAATAATTTAAATATTTGATACTAAGTATTTGTAATGCTTGCGGTATGAATTCGTTGGTGACGTGTATAATGTAATAGATGATTTAGAGGTAAAAGTTTTTGGATATTTATTTATTTTATATGTGGAAATGTTCATATTTGTAAAGGGTAAATACTTTTTCGCGATCAGGTAAGTTTTTCATATATGTTCTTTTTACCGGGTTTAAAGATTGAGAAAATTGTCATGTATTTTCGTGAAATTTTTCTAATTTATGAGAAAAAAGCAGTGTGTACATGGATATAGTGAAGAGTGTGCGCAATGCCATTTTTGTGCAATTCTGGGATGTTTTTTTAAGTAAAAAAAGTCGACGTTTGTACATGGTTTATGTGTATGGTGTTATTTTGAAAAACGCGTAAGGTGTATGGTATGGTATTGTGCACTTTTTCCCAATTTTGCAGTGAATATTTGTCATGATTAAGCAGTTTTGTTTGATAAAATTTCTAGCATAAGTGTAATTCGGCTAGTAGATTGTTGGAAGAAGTGTTCAGTAGATAAGAAGAAAAGAAACATGTCTTTACTCCGTGAAGACAAAATGGCGGCGGGGAAAAAAAATAGAGGGTTGCTGTAGAGAGTTGGTTGCCAAATTTTCGCCAAAAAATCACCAAGTTACCATAATGTAAAGATCAACCTCATTTTCTATTAGAAATGCAATACTTAAAAGTTAACCTGTTAATTTCCTATGTATTTTATGAAATTCAGACTAGTGCTCTGTGTTATCCTATATTTTATTTCTGCCTTTTATAGGATATATTTTTTGTGTGGTTCTTTACATATTTTCTTCATGTCTGAAATTTCCTGACCTTATGTTGTATTTCAAAATTTTTGTTGCCTTCAAATGTAAAGTTGACTTGATATTATTTTATGAGAATGACAGTCTTTCTTTTCTATCGAATTATGATAAACAGAAGCGTATCAGCTGTTACTGGAGTCATGTCTAATGCAACTGGTACCAGTACATTCTCCACCAAATATAAATTTTTGATTATATTAATTAAAGCTCCCTTAATGTTTTTATTAGCATGTTTTAGTTGAAAAGTTCAATTGTAAGAGAATTTTAAGAAAGAAAAAGGTATAGAATCTTATTAAAAAATTAATTCGGCTAATCTTTAGAATATGGTAACATGTAGTTTGACGACATTTTGGTAAGGCGATAAAGGTTACTAGCTAGGACTTTAGCAATAATCTGAGAAGTACACAGTTTGAATCACAGATTATTTTGTCTCAGAGAAATGAGAGATTATGACACATGTAATGTGACATTTTCCGGAAAACTCCGATCGTGATTTTAGCTAATAAGCACTTAGAAACAATTTCACTGCTAAAGTGCAGAATCGCCCACTTATTTGTTTGGGGCTTTTTACAAGAATAAGAAGAATTAAATTTTTGTCAATTTTATTTGACTTTTTAAGTGAAAATAGGTAGGTCAATGTGTATATAGATAAAGTCAAGAGTGTGCGCAATGCCATTTTTGTGCAATTATGGGATGTTTTTTAAATTAAAATAGGTTGACGTGTACATGGATACCGAGTATCTGCAATTCTTCTAAACGCGGCCAAGCAGTGGACGACTCTGCACTTTCTCCCAATTTCACACCTAATCTTCGTCATGATTAAGCATTTTTGTTCCATAAAAGTTCTAGCAGATTGTTGGAAAAAATGATGAGTTAAAAAAAAAAAAACATGCCTTTACTTCGTGAAAACAAAATGGCGTCCAGAACTAAAGTAGAAGGTTGCTGTAGCAGTTGAGAGGCAGGAATAAACTTAATCACTGATCAGCACAATGAAATAATACAATGTGATTTACAACACAGTGCAAATTTCACAGTGAAATGACACAGTTCAGTTTTTTGGGGTGAGTGACTTTCTACCCAAGCAATGATTTTAACAACACTTGCTATGGGGTACATAGTCTTTTATTTTATCTATCTTGTTTTGTTTCTTTGCACATGATTTTTAAAGTACCTTTCAATAATTCTATCCTTTGTTTTTTTTTTTCGGGGGGGGGGGAGCAGGGCCTAATCCATTTAAATTAAGTATTATCTGAAAAAAATATCCTCTTTCCATCCTAGTCTTTGTATTAAACTTTTACTTTGGTCAACCTACAGCTTCTCACTTTCTTAATGCTACCTTAAAACTTCATATGCTGTTTAATATATTTTGCCAAGATTTATTCAGTTAATCTTCCTGCCATTCCTTTCTTAAACAGAAATGTTATTTTTTATGCTCTCTACATATTAAAAAAATCATCAAATTGTAACATTGAGATACAGCAGACAACCTAGGACTCCATTTTTTGATGACCTTGGAATTATTAGTAGTGGCATTGGAAAAGTTAATAGATATGTGCATAATGCAGATGATTTGCTTTTAAACAAAGGCTTATTTTAAATATAAAGTGAAAAACAGCTAGGAAAAATAAACAAAATGGGTATTAAATCCACCTGTAAAGAAAATAACTGATGGTAAATTTTAATCACTATAGGAAAATATTTCTAGTGTTCAGTGAACAACTGATGAAGAAAACTAGAGTATTGAAGCAAGTTTAAAAATGAAAATGCATTAAATGTATCCATTAAAGAAGTCCATATACACAATACTCATACTATCTTATAAAAATATTGCAACAACAAGATATTAAAGAATGACACAAGAAAACTTTAAATTTTACTTTTGCTTAAAAAAATAATTACAGCAAACTGTTCATCACGTGAAGCCATCAAAATCTGATCCTTCACTTCTGAAATACCTTCTGACTGGTAAGGCCATATACGTCCTTTGTCAGAAAGTTCCAGGACATTGTTTTTATTTCTGAGTTTGCAGTACTAAAAGGGATTAAATGGACATTGTTTTTATTTCTGAGTTTGCAGTACTAAAAGGGATTAAATGGACATTGTTTTTATTTCTGAGTTTGCAGTACTAAAAGGGATTAAATGTTGTTTTTATGTTAACCTGATATGTATTCTTACGGAACTACTCTTATATGCGCCCTCAGGTTGCCAAATTTCTCAGCAAACATTTTTGGTGAGAAACTCCACGCCGTCATATTACTACCTAAATTTTTTGTCTACATTTCGAATTTTAAGCCTAAAATGTCTCCAAAAACATGGTTTTCACACATGCAAAAACCACGTTTTGAAGACACAATTTAAGCTAAAAATACGAAACAAAAAATTTAGATAGCAAAACGCAAAGTTTCTAACCAAAAATATTTGACAAGAATCCATGTACACAGAGATACATTTTAACTTCAAAAAACATTTATGAATTGCACATTCTAGGCAGTGAAGGAATCTACGAACTACGCACACCTCGCTTCAAAAAATTAACATAAC